TGTTTAGAGGCACTAAGGGCATGTGTAGATCAAATGGGGGCCCTAAATTGAAGTGGTGGGTTTTAAAAAACATTGTTTCAATTTAGGGCCAAGTAAGCCCCCGTGTTGTACACACCCTGCTGATTTACCTGCCTCTCTGGCAGGTAGGGGAGGGTGAGCTGCCAGCAGGTGGAGCCGTCCCTGGGCTGCGGGGACAGCTGGTGCTTCCTTCTATGGCAGTGGCAGCCTGCTCCAGGTGGAACCTGCCTGCAGGCACCCAGCTCAGGAGGTCCTGGGGGGCACCACAGCCACAGAGGGAAGCACGCCCCCAACAGCTCAGGCAGGCAGGCAGGCCCCGAGGGGATGGGAAAGATCAGGCTCCACTGCTTTTCTTGGGCAGAGCCTGTCTTTCCAGCCTGCCTGCAGGGCTTCCTTCAGGGCCCCTGAGCTGCACGGAGCCCAATGTTTCACTCTGTGGCTGTAGGGATAGCAAACTAAAACTCTTCGGAGGAGTTTTAGTTTGCTGCGGCCCATGTCATTTAAGGCACATTATGCCGCTGAATTCCTGACAGCGGCTGGAATTAATGTGTAATACACCACTGAGGCATGCAACCACTAACACCATTAAAGTGGTGCAAAAGCATTTAGCCCACTTTAAAGTGTCATGCACATATGCCCCTCATTTTGTGTACACATGGCCTAAGGTGCATTAATGCTGTGTATGTTGACTGACTTGGTACTAACTTTAATCCCAAGTTGGTTTGTACACCGCATCAATGTGCCTTAGTGCGTGCACGTGTAGATGCATGCCTAAATTGCTTTAATGCACATTAGGCAAATGCATATTAAGTTTACATGTGCATAAAATCATGCGTAGACATGTCCCTTGGGTACTAGTTGCATACATGGTACATACAAGCATTCTTTCTGCAATGCAAACCATGCCATTCATAAAAATATTGATTTGCTGCAGGTAAACTGTGATATGTAGCTGCTTAGCTCTTCTTTGGAACCTTTTCTTCTCTGTGTCCTTGTGACAAGGTATTTATTAGAATTTGCAGTTTCATTGGAATCCAACAGGGCTGCACTATAAGCACTTCAGCTATGGCCTTGAACTTGCAACTTCTGGCCTATTAACTGTGAACACTGGCACCCAGCCCAGCCCAGCCTAGCCTAGCCTAGCCTCCTCTTCTTTGGATAGAATAGATATTCTGTTCCTTTTTTTTCTGTTGTATTACAAGACCCTGCCCCCACTCCAAACTAAGAATGTGGTTTATGTGAATGTATACAGGTAGTCATACAATGCTTATGATCAACACTGCACCTTACTTTCTTAATTTCCTGCCATACTTGATGTCCAAAAGAGCAAACCCTCATATTCTACTATGCATGGTGAAGGAGAGGTAAAGAACAGCTGAGGAACAAGAGTCAAAATGCAGTGAAACAATGTCTGCCCACCCCAGGTTCTAACAGGTCTGTTTCAGCAGTGCTGTCCCTCTCTGGTAAGTCACACAGGAAAGAAGCTGGTTGGCTGTGCTTGTAACCTTAATTATGCCTCTACTATTCACAATATTGTTCCAAAGCACCTGTAGTAGAGTGCAGACCTTTTGTGAACAGCTTTTCTCTCTGCTGCAGTCAGCCAAGAAAAATCAAAGCTCTGGCTTGCCAAGAAACAGGGCTATTACCACATTTATAATGTGAGCAGTACTGCCATACCTGTTCTATATAAAACCCCCAGTTGGCTACTGATCAGAACTACTGCTCAGAGGAGCTTTGCCTCATGTAAAATAGATCATTTAAGGGGTAAAAAATGAAAGTGTTATACAGCTGTTAGCTTGTGTGATGGGGTTTTTTTGGGGTCCCCACTCCCTTTCTTTCATTTTATGACTGTACTCACACCAGCTCCTGGAAACAATTCAGGAACTTGCCCCTGGTCTGAGTTAAAAAGAACGGGTCCTGTGCCAATACTACAGAAAAAAGGTTCTGTAATATCTCAACCTGATTTGCAAGGAGGAAAAAAAAAAGAAAGGAAGAAAAGCTCCCTGTAAAATTCAGAGCCTGCAGCTAGAGAAATATGTGAAAAGATGGGGAAAACCTATAGAGTTTTGGGAAAAAAAATGGCTGGAGAAAACACCTTAGGCTTCTTAAGTATTTTTTTTCCTCCAGTCTAAGTGCTCAAGAAAAAAGGAAGAAATTAAAAGCAAAATAAAATCTAATTCCAAAAAATTACGTGATACAAAATTAAATGCAGATTAAAATATATTTATATTCATTGGGAATATGTAACTTCTGAAGAACCTGCTGTGCTGTAAAGCCTCAATTCAGGTAGGTATATATGAATGTTATTATTTGGGCTATTCACAGGCTTCAAAGTTTCATACCTATGTAACTTGTATAAGTAGTTTGCTCAGTTGAGAGCTAAATACCCTTATCCCAAGCTAAAGCTACTTTGTTTCCTCTAATGATGGCTCAGATTTCTCTACAAACTAAGCAACTAATTCAAGGTCACCTATTGTAGCCTTTTATTTAAGAGGTAAAAAATGAAAATGAACCCTACATGGTTGTATAGCTCCAGCCAATTCTGCTACAGTTTGAAGTGCGCGGGTAGGAGGAACTGGAAAGCACACATTGTGAAGACAAATAGTTTTTTGCATACATTTGTGGTGGGTTTGCTGGTAACAGCTCAGCTTGCTGACTTGGAAGGGCTCCAAGTGATTGGTGGGGCGTTCCCACCAATGGGATGAAGGCAGGGGAAAGGCTTGCCCCACCCCTACCCTGGGGCAAAGTGAAGAGCAGGACATGAGTGAGGACTAAACCCCCTTACTCTGATTGGTCCATTTTCAATCTGAGGGTGGAGTCCCCAGAGGGAATAACAAAGCAGTGTGCCCAGCACACAGGCAACTGCATTGAGGGATGAAGAAGAGGGCTGAAGAAGAGCTGGCCAGCGGGACGGAGTTGTTGCCTCTGAAGAGCCCAAAGACTCTTTGCCAAATGGGGAGCAGCAAGCAGCCACATCCCCCAGCCCTGCCACAAGGGAGTGTGGCAAGCAGTGCACAGCTGGCACACAAAGGGTTTGAGAGGGACCAAGACCCTTGGAGCTGCATGAGAAGGCTCAGGTCACCAACCCCCTGGCATGAGGCCAGGCAGTCAGTGCACAGGCGGTGCATGGATAGTCCGAGAGTGAGCAATAGTTGCCAGTGAGTGAGTGAGAACTGGGTCATCAAAGCTGAAGCATTTCTTTGTTTTAAAGCAAACAACCATGAGAAAGTGCTGATTGCAAACTTCTTCTTAGTCTCTTGAAGGCTCAGATCAAGCGCAGTCTGCACTTGCTTGGTAAAGGAAATACCGTGATCTCTGGGGCTGTCTTCCTAGCTGCACCAGGGAAGACTGCTCTCCTGACTTGGGGATATTACTTGCCAAGGTAATGTATAGTAAACCTCCCACTTAGCTGTTGGAGTGGGAAGGTCTTGGCTTTAAGCCCACTTTATGGAAATGGGATTTTTCCCTGGCTTGGCCCTGGGGCCTTACAGCTGAGGACAAACAAAACTCAGGGGCATCTGAACCCCAAGTCTCTGGGCTTGAGCCTGAAAGTAGGATGGCCGCCAAAGGTTTTGGGAAGATCTGTAGCCCCAGTTGGGGGTGGAGGATGTGCGCCAGTAGTAGGGCCACTTATGGTTGTGGACTCTTGGATTTGGAATTAGTTTTGGCTAATTTGGCCTAGGATACACAACATTAGAAAAAAATAGAAGTCAGCAAAGGCTCCCTGAGAGTGACTTGGGTTTTGCATATGCTAGATCAATAAATTATCATACATTGTGAATTTTTACTATTATTGATCATACATTGTACAAGGTTGAAATTATCGTAGAAATACGATCATTACCATAAACCTGGCAACACTGGCATGGGGTGTCAGGAGGGAAGCGGGAGACTTAATCTTCAAGGGGTGGCCACTGGCACTGTGAGTGGCAGGTGGGGGAGGAGGCTGGTGCCTGCACTCCTGCCCATGCCAGGAGCAAGGGGGAGTTCAACACGCTTTAAGAGGCAGAGCAAGATATTCCATGTCTGGTGCCTCCCTGGCCTGCTCACCACTGGCTAGGCCCAGGCTCATGATTTGCAATAGTGTTGCCAGGTGCTAAATATGAAATGATGCTATTGGAAGCTCAAAATTATCATATTTGCTGAAAAACTATGGTCCACAGAGCAATATGCAAAAAAGTCTTTTTATTTACTTTATATTGCCCACTGTTAAGTGGTCAGTGAGCGAATGGGAACTGGGTCATCAAAGTTGCAGTATTGCTAACTCTCGTGATTTTCAGCATTGTTCTTAAAGTCTTTGCGTCAGGAATGTGAAGAACGTGTGTGTGTGTGTAAAAATAAAAAAAAACCTACATTCTTCACATTCCTGATGCACAGACTTTAAAAACGCCAAAAATCATGGAAGCTGGCAATACCGACATTGAAACACTTCTTTATTTCTAGGCGAGCCGTGATAGGAAAGTACTGACAGCAAACCTCAAAGTCAGTTAAAACTGCCTGAGAGTGACTTGGGTTTTGCATAGGCTGCCTCAAAAATGCTCCTACATTATGGCACTACAATAAAAGTCCTGCTACTTCAGACAAGGTTCCTTGGGTGAATTTGATATCTTTTATTAGACCAACCCAAATGGTTGGAGAATAGTTATTAAGCAAGCTTTCAGGTTCAAAAGAGCACACACCAACTGCTGCAGCTTCCTTAGCCTGACGAAGGGTTTTTGAACCCGAAAGCTTGCTTAATAACTATTCTCCAACTATTTGGGTTGGTCTAATAAAAGATATCAAATTCACCCAAGGAACCTTGTCTGCCTACATCCTTAGACCAACACGGCTACAACCTAAACCCCTGCTACTTCAGAGACTCTTGAGCGTGCTAGCGTTTCAAGTAGCAGTGAGCGACCTCCTCTGGCCCCGCCCCTCCACCTTGAGGCTCCTCCCATAGGGAGGGGGCGGGGCTGTTGCTTTCCGGGGTAGGCGGGGCGGCTCCTTTCCCTTCTCCCTCCCGCGCGTCCCGTCCCGGAAGTGACGTAAGGGGGTCGGCCTGCCTCTGCTGGAGACCCCAGTGCCGCCGCCATTTTGTTCGCGTCGGGCCGGGGGCTGTGGGTGGGATGTCGGCCTTCTCGGAGTCGGCGCTGGAGCGGAAGCTGTCGGAGCTGAGCAACTCGCAGCAGAGCGTGCAGACGCTGAGCCTCTGGCTCATCCACCACCGCAAGCACTCGGCGCTCATCGTCAGCGTCTGGGAGCGCGAGCTGCGCAAAGGTGAGGCAGCCCCTCCGGGCGGGCCCGGCCTCTCGCCTCCCCTCCTTCCTCGGGCCCCGCCAGCGTGGGGAGGCCGGGAGCTGGCAGCCGAGTGGCAGGCGGGCCTGGCGACGCCGCGGATCGTCGCCCCCCCCGGGGCTGCCTGTCGCCTGCAGTCCGTGGGCCGCGGGCAGGTGTTTAAAGCGGGATTGAAAGAAGCGCAGCCACCGCGCCTGCTCCTTTCCTTTTTTTGGCGGTGGGGGGGGCATATGGGTGCACATTAGCGAAGATGAGAGCAGTGGACGCCCCCCCCCCCTTCCACTTTTTACATGCGACTTCTTTACTGGCGTTTCGTGCAGCCTGAACTACCTTTTAAACGGGGCAAATGGAAGCACATAATTGGGTTAATTGGGAAGGGCCAGTGTGGGTGAGCAGAGCTTTGCCCACTTGGTTTGGACCCTGACCTAACGCAGTCAGTCATCACTTTGTTTGCTTGGCAGTAAGGAATGGGGTGCTGGCAGCCTCCTGGAAGATGGGAAACTGGCCCCTTTGAGAAGCTGCCTCCATAGTGGCAGAGAAGACTGTAGCCTTGATAGCTTTGCCCACACCAGGGAGAGATTTGGGGACTTGAAGGGGAACCATTGATGGGGGTGGCTTTGTTGGTAAGGAGGAAAAGAGATGGCAAACTGTTAGATCTGCGAGAGACCTAGAGAGAATCCTTGTGTAGGGCCATGTTGATAGGGCACATCTCAGGATCATTTCCTCTTTTTTTGGTCAACATGGCAGAAACCATTTTGTTTGTATGAAGCTAAGTTTTAAGGGAAAAGAAAAGCTTTAGGATTGGTCACTGAAAGTATTTTGGCCTCCTGGAAACAGCAGAGAAAGTCTTACCATTTAACTAAACTTCTGTTTATTCTGTGCCTGGGTGTGAAAGATGCAGCCCGTAGAGCCGTACCATCCAGGCTGTGGTGTTGCCTGTGGGTTTTGGACTGGCCCTGTGCACTGCATGCAACTTACGAAGCTGCTCTGGCTTGCCCTGCACACTGTGTGTGGAGCCAGGCCCACATGCTGAATGTGGGACTAGATTGGGCCCACAGACCAGCCCTTTGTGCTGAATCCAGTGGTTAGGGCCAGTGCAGGGTGGGTGCTGCATGCAGTGTCTGCTGTGGATCAGCCCTGTGCACTCTGGCTCCAGAGTGCAGGGCCAGTATGTTGGCCCTATCCAGTCTGATATCCCTGCTCTTGACTAAAGGTGTTCACAACTTTTATTTAGAATACATTTTAAATTATTTCTTGCATGACAGGTTATCTAGTGATCTTTCAAATCTTTGGGGATACTAAAATTAGTCCAACTCCTTTTTAAAAAGAAAAGCCCTGTGCATTCTGGGCTTCAGTAAGGACTGTGGGGTGCCTGAACGTGTAAATTGAGTAAATTATCTCTTTCCTGAAGATGCATAGGTCTAATCAGCTTATCCAGGTTATCTTTACAAAATACAAGCGACTTCATTGCAATGTACTGATACAGCGGGTATGTCTACACGTGATGCTACATCGCCATAGTATCTTTAGGCAAAAACCACAATGCCACAGCTACATAGCCGTAGCGATGCATTCCCTCAGTATTGCGCATCACTACAGCAAAGTAGCAGCTAAAAATAATGGTGTGCACAGCGCAGTATGGGCTGTTACTGTGCTATCATTTAGTACTTCCAAAAGGAAGTACTAAATAATGGTGCCGTAACAACAGCACCATAGGTTTATGTGTTGATGAGCCCAGTGTTTCCTATTCTAAACAAATAATAACAAAAGGAAATTCATTATTTTTCGTCATAGCAGAAGATTACAGTGAGCAATTACACTAGGAATTGCTAAACTGGTCATTTCATTGTTCATCTTGATCAACATAGCCATGAAACTACTTGGAGAAGCAGTTGATGTCAGTTATTGCTGACACTTGGCTGTTGAACTTGTAATGTTTAGATGTTTTTGTTGCCCTGCATTAATGACGTAAGAATATACCTAGAAAACATATGGTTGAAACTCAGCCTATGTAAATAGAGATGGTCTTGGTTAGCAGGATAAAGTCTTCTGAAGCAGGGGGTTGGTAATGTTTTGCTGTGGGGCGTGGGGGGGTGCTGCTCTTGAAAAGTGCAGGTCACAATCATGGATGCAAAACCCCTGGCTCCACAGGCTAGATAAATGATTCCTCTGCAACTCTTGGCTGCCAGTCCCTGTTGTAAAGAATTAACAGGAATGCTTTGATCCCTGTCACTGGATAGCACTTGCCCCTCAGTTTCAAGCTTGTGATCTGGTTTTGGGGGTCTTGAGAAAAATGGTTGCTAAAAACTCATCTCCAGCTACTTGGTGAATTGGCAGAGGCTGAATCTCTGGTTACATCAGAGTCCGATGTTGCATTGGCTTCTGGTTGGTTGCTAAAGAAGGCAGTCACAATAAAACCCAAATGGTACCCCAAACCCTTAAAACTGCATTCTACACCAACCACTCTTGCTTCTCTGTCATCCAGAGAGCATCCTCCCTCTTTTCGCCCTTCTCCTTCCTAAATTTAGCTGGGTTACGTGCAGGCAGAAACCCTCTTCCCACATGGGTTTCCTTCCATCTCTCTCTCTCCCCCTCATTTACAATCATCAGTATTGTAGTACTCAAAAAGGAGTCTCTGAAATAGTGTTGTCAATCCCAAGTGTAAAATGCAGGCACTCTATTCATATTTTCTAATTATGATATAGTTTTCATTACATTATACCTTTTTATCCTCATTTTTATTTAAGCACTGCAAGGTAGAACTTTAAGGGGAGAAAATTGTTTGTAACTTGCTGCATTTTATTTTACTGCATTAATCACTGATAAATAAAATCATGTTACCTGGAGCAGAAGCAGATCTTGGTCTTACAACTGCTATAAGAGTCCATGGGTTAAAAACAGAACAAGTACATCAGCAAAAACAAATTACACCAAAAATCATAATTAAGATAATTAAATATTGCTGCTTCTGTAGTTTCTTATTTCTACAGAAGTTTTCCAGAAACAGATTCGACCTTTAGGGCTTCCTGGAAAATCCAATGATTGAGACCTGGGGCAAAGCAGCTCCCATGTAAGAGCATACCAAATAGTACCATCATCTTGGGTACATCTCTTTTAAGCTTTAGATGGTTTCCTTTTGTTCCACATCCCACCTTTTACCTGTATTTGAGTGTGCTGTGGATTAAAAAAACAAACAAACAAGCCTGTATTCTATCATAACATTGTATTGTTATGATTAAATTGTGTAATAGGACTTGAATGCCATATTGAAATAACGAGGAGGCAGCCCTAGATCTATAAAATGTGCATCATTTGGATAAAAAATTTTCCATTATCAAATGAACCTTAAAGCTTAGAAAATTCACCTTGTTACCTGTCCTTGTTTACATTGAGAGTTGAGTTGCTGCATACTTGATAGACTCAGTTCTTCCTTTAAGTTATCTTCACATTATTGATCGTGTATATCTAGTTTTTTACAAAATTGAATTTCTGTCGATGGTCAGTGGATTGTTTTCAAAAAAAAAAAAAAAAAGGAAAAATGTCCAGAAATACAAAGTTTTGGAATCGGAAAAGTTTGGTTAATCTTTTTTCTTTAAACATCTTGAGAATTATCAGGGCACAATAAACTAGAATTTTTGCTTCTGAAAAATTTACTTTGAAGTCATGCAAAGACCAAAACAGAGATCTCTCTCTAGTGACTTTCTGTTTTTATTTGTTGTAGTTTATCCTATTTTTCCTTCTTTCAGACTGCTTATTTATGATAATCTAGTTTAGGGGTTGTCAACTGGGGGTATGTATACCTCCAGGGGTACTTGAGAAGGCCCTAGGAGGCTTGCGCGGACAAGGACGGAGTGCCATCATGTACCATCCCGTGAGGCGCTGCCCACCCAGCCAGATGCAGGGTGCAGGGGAAGCTTGCACACACTGGCTGCTGCCACTCCATTTGGCTGTACACCAAACACCCCTGCTGCCATGGCTACTCTGATCCCAAAAGGTTGAAAATCCCTGATCTAGATATGTACCAAAGAGTAAGTGAGGTACATAATGATGATTACCCATAGTATCAGAATCTGCTTAGTTGCTCTTTTTCAAAACAGGTTCTTCTTGGCAACTATTTTCTTTGCCCTCTTTCCTCCTTTTTTGATACTGAACAACACTGTAGATCACGTATTTAAGAGCACAAAAACAAATGGCATCTGAAACATTCACAACAAGATGAGGAAATTGCTGTTCAAACTGAAATGATTGTAATTTGAAATAATTCTGAAATTGGTTCATATTTGTGATTGTTTGTGGCAAAGCATTCTTTGGGCAGAAATTCTTGACTTAAAATTAGAGGTGCACTGATACATTGGTTGCATATCACACCAGCACCGATTTAAAAGGAAAATTAATATTATCACTTATTAGCTTTTTTGGCCGGTGTAGCCAATAATGTCACTGATAAATACAATAGGCCTTCTGGCTTGTGCCGGATACTGCGTGCAGGCACGCAGTCAAACGTGGCTAGGAATGCAGCTGGGCAGTATGGAGAGCAGCACCCTGCATGTAAGTATGTAGAGGGGAAGGGGCATGGCGGTGGGGCAGATTGAGGCCCCCATGGTGAAGGGGGGAGAGGGGCTGGGGTGCAGGGTGCTGCCCAGTCAGGCTCAATGGAAGCCGGGGCAGGGAGCAGGACAGAGCCATGGTTACCTTGTTGAGGGGCCCCCAGCCGCTGTGCATATCCCGGGGGGAAACGTGGCACATGACCCCACCCCCCCATGTGCTCCCCCAGATTTGTCCGTGGGGCAGATGCTCGCTGTGAGTTTGGGGCTCTCTGCTCTGCTGCATTTCCCTTGGGAGCCCCATGCCAGCTACATGTCCCCTCCCTGCCCAGCAGCGGTGGGGGTGGCAAGTTGTGCCTTCTGCTGCTGGACAAGCAGTGGGCGTGTGGCTGGCTTGGGGCTCCCAAGGAAAAAGCAGCAGAGCAGAGAGCCTGGAGC